GGACGAGATGGAGTTCACCGAGGCGGAGAGCAACATGAACGACCTTGTCTCGGAGTACCAGCAGTACCAGGATGCCACTGCGGAGGAGGAGGGCGAGTTCGATGAGGAGGAGGACGGCGAGCAGTGAGGTGCTTCTCGGGTTTTCCGCGTGCATCTGACTTTGCTTGTTTTTGGCCTTCGAATGACCGACGGGCCGATGCATACGTGCAAGGACGCAACTCCTTGAGGGAATTCCAGGAAATCATGTGTCTTCTCGAAAGGAGTCGAAGGAAACATGATGGTACAACTCAAGTAGCTGTCCAGCGAGAGTTCCGTTTTGGGAAGAATTCGCCCTCAATCCTTTCTTCGGTTGCACATTGTTAATTTTTGGTTGTCATTGTTTGTAGTCCCGTACAAGAGGCCCATAATCAACATGGTCTGGACTCACGCTTCAGCAGCCCGCCTGCTCGACTTGGCCGCTTGGGCCCGCCTTCACCACCCGCCCGCTAGGGTCCGCGTGTTTTCTGTTCTTAGGCTCCCTACTGCTACTTTCGTTCTCGATCCTTCTCCCTCCTCCTTCCATCCGTCGTTTCTTCCCTTGTTTTAGGGGCTGCAGTAAATGCGCGTGGCAGGTAATGAAGATACACCCCCAAGGGGGATATGATCGGAGACGAAGAGGGCGGGTACTGAGGGTTTGGGGCAAACGTGATGAATGGCACGCGAGCAGATCGGAGCGAAGAGTCTTAAAATGATAGTTGAGTTTTATTTTTCAAAACGACAGCTGTTTTTGATCCCCCCTGCCTTGTAACCAATGTGTTTTTTCTCAAATTAAAGTGCTCCTCCCGGGGCTCGCACCCTTTTTATAAGGGAAAACTTGGTGTCACCAAACTGGGCCCCTGGCCCCTGGTTTACAACAACAACAACAGCAACAACAACAACAGCACCAGCAACAACAACAACAACAGCAACAACAACGGCTCCCGCCTGATACTTCCTCACCAGTTATTCCCAAATCGCGCTCTCGCGCGCGGGATTCCCTTTCAATTTGTGCCCCAGAGTCGCGTTCTCGCGCGGGATTTCCGCGCAATTTATTCAGACGCCGCGCCCTCGACACTCAGAAATCACGCTCTCGCTGTGGCCATTCGGTTTACTTGGGAATCGTGCTATCGCTCGAGACCTTGCGATTCATGCAGGACGCACGCTTCAGCAACCCGCCTGCCTTTTGTCCCTTCCTTGCATCCGTCCTGTCTTCCTCTGCCTCAGGGGCTGCGCGAAATGCATGTTGCAGGTAATCAAGAAAATTTTACCTCCTATTGGGGTACGATCGAAGACGAAAAGGGAAGGTATCCAGGGTTTGGAGTTTTCGTGCTGAGTGTCACGCGAGCAGTAAGAGCGAGCATTCTTAATATGATTGTTGTTGTTGTACCTTCATTTTCGAAACACAGTTATTGTTCATCACCCCCACGGGTGCACATGATGTTTTTCAATTGACGTGCCCCCCTCGGGGCTCGCACCCTTTTTTATCAGGGAACGCCGTACTGCTCAAACTGTGTTGTTGGCCCCCCCGGCTACAACAACAACGGTTCCTGCCTGATATTTCCTCATAATGTATTCCAACATCGAGCTCTCGCGCAGGACTTCCACACAATTTATGCAGGAATCGCGTTCTCGCGTGGGACTTCCTTGCAATCTATTCAGACGCAACGCCCTCGACACTTAGGAGTCACGCTCTCCCTTAGGCCTTTCTTGCGATTTACTTGGGATTTTTGCTATCGCTTTGGCCTTCCTCATGATTGATGTTGTCGTTGTGGTTCTTCTTGTTGTTGTTGTTGTTATTGTTGTTGTTGTTGTTTTTGTTGTTGGTGTGGTTGTTGTTGTTGGTGTTGCTGCTGCTGCTGTTGTTGTTGGTGTTGCTGCTGCTGTTGCGGCTGCTGCTGTTGTTGTTGTCGTCGTTGTTGTTGTTGGTGTTGGTGTTGGTGTTGGTGTCGGTGTTGGTGTTGGTGTTGGTTGTGTGTTGTTGTTGTAGTTGTTGTAGTTGTTGTTGTTGTCGTCGTCGTCGTCGTTGTCATTGTTGTGATTGTTGTTGTTGGTGGTATTGTTGTTGTTGTTGTTGTTGTTGTTGTTGTTGTTGTTGTTGTTGTTGTTGTTGTTTGTTGTTGTTTGTTGTTGTTTGTTGTTGTTGTTGTTGTTTGTCTGTTTGTTTGTTTGTTTGTTTGTTGTTGTCGTCGTCGTCGTCGCCCTCGTCGTCGTTGAACATTATTACTTCTAAAGAATAATTATTGTTGGGACCCCTGGTGCGCGACCTCTGCGCCGCGCCTAGGCCGCAGCTACATTTTCATCATTTTTTCGCGAAAGCTTCAGAAAAGTGGATTGTCACCGGATCAGGTTTTTTGTTGTACTCCGTTTTCCCTTGCAAAAAACACTATAAAATGAAAATTCTTGTTCTTACTTGATCAAATTGCAAGAATCCCTTGCAAAAAATAAGGTAAAGTGGACATTCGTGCGCGCAAGACGAAATCCTTCCAAAACCTTAGGTTTCGTAGCGATTTTAACATAAAAACATCAAAAACCCAATGGTTTTTTAAGAAAAAATTGTCAAAATGTCCTTCCGCGCGCGCTGTCCGATCCCACAAAACCAATGGTTTTTCAACATTTATGTTACATGAGCTCGCGCGAGCTACTTTTTCTTGTTCTAACATAATCAAATTTCAATAATCCCTTGCAAAAAATAAGGTAAAGTGGACATTCGCGCGCGCAAGACGAAATCCTTCCAGAACCTTAGGTTTCGTAACGATTTCAACATAAAAACATCAAAAACCCAATGGTTTTTCAAAAAAAAATGTCCAAATTTCATTCCGCGCGCGCTGTCCGACTCCCACAAAACCAATGGTTTTTCAACATTTATGTTACATGAGCTCGCGCGAGCTACTTTTTCTTGTTCTAACATAATCAAATTTCAATACTCCCTTGCAAAAAAAAGTAAAGTGGACATTCGCGCGCGCAAGACCAACAAAAAACACGACGATCTCAGGAACTTGCCCCAAAAATGTGACCAACTCCGCTCTCTCTGTCTCTCTCTCTGTCTGCTCTCTGTCTCTCTCTCTGTCTGTCTGTGTCATGTATTGTATGTCACAATTGCAGGATGCTGGGCACACGCGCGCCCCGAATAAGTGACCAAGTTCTGTGGGTGTGTACCCCACGCCAGTGTAGTAGCCACGGTCGTCCGCACGCCACGAAGTGAAGTGTCCCAACGTCATAGGGCGGGAAGCTGGGTTTGGGTGGTCGCGAAGAGTCGTTTGGATATTTGGTAGAGCTTGAACTGCCCCCCCACGAAGTGGGGGTATTGTCTCGCGTCGCATGAAAACCCTGGCACTGGTGAGAACACTGAGCGTTCGGGTAAAATGATTGTTGTTGTTGTTGTTGCTGTTGTTGGTGCTGCTGCTGCTGTTGCTGTTGTTGTTGTTGTTGCTGTTGTTGTTGCTGCTGTTGTGGTTGTTGCTGCTGTTGCTGATGTTGTTGTTATTGTTGTTGTTGTTGTTGTTGTTCCCCACATGCTTCGTGGGGTTCTGGTTTTCTTGCTTGCTGCGCCGCACCCGCGACACTCACGCCTCACACCGCCCTCTCCGTCTCTCCCTCTCTCTCACACACCTCACCCTTCCCCTCCTCCTCACAGCACTGCTCAGCACAGCTCAGCTCAGCTCAGCTCAGCTCAGCACGGCACAGCTGAGCACAGCTCAGCTCAGTTCAACTCAGCACAGCACAGCACAGCACAGCACGGCACAGCACAGCACAGCTCACCGCACAGCAGCACAGCACAGCGCAGCACAGCATAGCACACAGGGCATTCCTTCGACGCCACAGGGGGTGCGCTGGGGGTGGGGGCCCTATGCGTTGTAGGCCCCCAGGGCGTGGCAGGCTTGGCATTTCCTCGACGCCACAGGGGGTGCGCTGGGGGTGGGGGCCCTATGCTTTGTAGGCTCCCAGGGCGTGGCAGGCGTGGCATTTCCTCGACGCCGCAGGGGGTGCGCTGGGGGTGGGGGGCCTATGCGTTGTAGGCTTCCCAGGGCGTGGCAGGCGTGGCATTTCCTCGACGCCGCAGGGGGTGCGCTGGGGGTGGGGGCCCTATGCGTTGCAGGCTCCCAGGGCGTGGCAGGCGTGGCATTTCCTCGACGCCACAGGGGGTGCGCTGGGAGGTAGGAGGAGGAGGTAGAGGAGGAGGAGGAGGAGGAGGAGGAGGAGGAGGAGGAGGAGGAGGAGGAGGAGGAGGAGGAGGAGGAGGAGGAGAAGGAGGAGGAGGACGGGGAGGTGGGGCAGCAGCAGCGGCAGCAGCAGCAGCAGCTGCAGCAGCAGACGCAGCAGCAGCAGCAGAAGCAGCAGCAGCAGAAGCAGCAGCAGGAGGAGGACACCGAGGAGGAGAAGGAGGAGCAGCAGCAGAAACACCGATGGTACACATGGGAAATCACATAGGTATGTGGGGTTCCTCGGTAGCGTAATGGTTGTTGTTGTTGTTGTTGTTGTTGTTGTTGTGGTTGTTGTTGTTAATGTTGTTGTTGTTGTTGTTGTTGTTGTTGTTGTTGTTGTTGTTGGTGGTGGTGGTGGTGGTGGTGGTGGTGTTGTTGTTGTTGTTGTTGTTGTTGTTGCTGTTGTTATCGTTCTTGTTGTTGTTGTTGTTGATGTTGTTGTTGTTGTTGTTATGGTTGTTGTTATTGTTGTTGTTGTTGTGGTTGTTGTTGATGTTATTGCTGTTGCTGTTGTTGTTGTTGCTGTTGTTTTTGTTGTGGTTGTGGTTGTGGTTGTGGTTGCTGCTGCTGCTGCTGTTGTTGTTGTTGTTGTTGTTGTTGCTATTGCTGTTGTTGTTGTTGTTGTTGCTGTTGTTGTTGTTGTTGCTGTTGTTGTTGCTGTTGTTGTTGCTGTTGTTGTTGTCGCTTCGCGTAACCCCACCAGCCCATCCAGAAACGATGCCCCGACGAGTTGCCTTGATCCCAGAGCTCGACACGGACTTCCCTCATGTTTATGGAAGATTTGACGTCCTTGCCTTTCGAGTTCCCAGCGCTCCAAAATGACCAGAAGCCCCCAAGAGGGCCCGAAGAAGCCCAGAGAGAGCCCAGGGACAGCCCAGAAAGCCCCCAAGATTGCCTCAGAGACTTCCATGACGGCCCAGAGGGGTCCAAGAGAACGCCAAGACAGGCACCGAGACTGCCAGGAGGCCCCCAACAGGCCCCGAAGAAACGCGAAGGGACCCCAAGAGGCCCCCACACGTCCCTCCGTCGCCATTTTGGCTCAAGCGATTCCGATCGAGGCTGTCACATCACGCGGCGGCTTTGTTAGTTGTCACCCCCTGCCAGACTTCAACTCGATCAAGAAGCCCATCCAACACAATGCGTGAGGCGATCTGCATCCACATTGGGCAGGCGGGTGTGCAGATTGGCAATGCATGCTGGGAGCTTTTCTGCCTTGAGCACGGTATCCAGCCTGACGGCCAGATGCCCTCTGATAAGACGATCGGAGGCGGCGACGATGCCTTCAACACGTTCTTCTCCGAGACTGGCGCCGGCAAGCACGTCCCCCGCTGTGTGATGGTCGACCTAGAGCCCACCGTGGTCGATGAAGTACGCACGGGTACCTACCGTCAGCTGTTCCACCCTGAGCAGCTCATCTCTGGCAAGGAGGACGCCGCGAACAACTTCGCGCGAGGGCACTACACCATCGGCAAGGAGATCGTCGACCTCGTCCTGGATCGGATCAGGAAGTTGGCCGACAACTGCACTGGCCTCCAGGGCTTCATGATCTACAATGCCGTCGGCGGAGGCACTGGCTCCGGGCTCGGTTGCCTGATGCTGGAGCGCTTGTCTGTGGACTACGGGAAGAAGACGAAGTGCTCTTTCACTGTGTGGGCGTGCCCGCAGGTCGCCACAGCAGTGGTGGAGCCCTACAACACTGTTCTCTGCGTGCATTCCCTCCTGGAGCACACAGATGTCACCATCATGTATGACAACGAGGCACTGTACGATATATGCCGCCGCAACCTTGACATCGAGCGCCCTACTTACACCAACCTGAACAGGCTGCTGGCGCAGATCATCTCATCGCTGACTGCGTCGTTGCGCTTCGACGGTGCTCTGAACGTGGACATCACCGAGTTCCAGACGAACTTGGTGCCCTATCCACGCATCCACTTCATGCTCTCCAGCTATGCACCCGTTATCTCTGCGGAGAAGGCGTACCATGAACAGCTGTCAGTGGCGGAGATCACCATGTCCGTCTTCGAGCCCGCATCCATGTTCGTGAAGTGCGACCCTCGTCATGGCAAGTACATGGCATGCTGTATGATGTACCGCGGAGACGTAGTGCCCAAAGATGTGAACGCTGCTGTAGCTACTATAAAGACCAAGCGCACCATTCAATTCGTTGATTGGTGCCCCACGGGCTCCCCAGCTGGGAGGGGGTTCACTGCCACCGGCAGTGGACCGGAAGTGACCGGACATAAATGTTCCCAGCGGTCTTACGACGTAATCGAGCGCCTGATGCAGGCATACTTGAACGACCTGAGTGGTCACGACGGTAGCCACGGGTGGCTACGCGAGCTGGCGAAGGTGTGGCAGAAGTTGATGCACATCATCCACGGGAACGGGCCCCAGTGGGGCTACAGCGGCAAGGGGCGGAGTGGCAAGGGGAAGGGCGGCAAGATGAAGGGCAAGTACCGCGACCGCAACGAGGAGGAGGAGGCGGAGGCACAGCGGAGGACGGAGGAGGAAGATGCTGCCGAGTGGGCGTCCCTGCAGCGCCGGAGGCCAACGCTGTTCGCCGACGAGTGGAACGTGCCCGTCTGCTCCGCGAAGGACCTCACCAGGGCCGGAGGGGTGGCAATGGCTTACGAGACCGAGGTCAGGCAGGTCCTCGTACGCGTCGTGCCCACCTTGCGGCCGACCGCAATTCTGACGACGAGGCCGCTGCACGAGCTCGGGTACAAGGGGTATTCTTCCACGCTCGTCACCTTCAACATGCAGGTCTTCGACGAAACGGCCATGGCTCCGGATGGCATGCGAGGGGCTTGGAGGGATCATCTGGGAGCGCGGCGGTATTTGACGCAGTTGGGCGACGCTGGGCGGGTTGAGGCGCCGAGACGCTGGCCTATGAAAGAAGGAGCCTCGCTATCACCGCAGGAGATGCAGAACATGAGGACCCTCGCCCGCGGCGATCTGGAGTACAAGAGTGTGTGTTGGGCCACCAGACAGCTGGACTTCACCACGTCTGAGCGTCTGCTGCCAGGCCGTAGCGCTGGCAATATCGCCGACGGTCCAGAAACGACTGGCGGCGCTCCAGATCCTTCCCCCTCTGCCTTCCCCCACTCCACGCAGGAACATGGCTGGGCCGAGGGCGACGGTGCCGGGCCCGAGGACGACGATGAGCAGTCCGACGACGACTCCGATGACACCGAATATATGTCACATGGCGAGATCACTGCCGTGCTGCTGGAGTTGTCAGAGATGGATCTCGACGAGGACGGTGTCGGGGGCTACTTGGCCAGCCTGAAGAAGCGGACGTGGAAGGATGACAAAGATCTCAAGCGGGCGGCCAATAAGGATAGAGAGTGCTACCGCGGCTCGGGCAGGGACAGGCCCTCCGGCTCTAGCTGCCGGCGACCACCGCCACCGCCCCGGGGTCGTTCCGAGCGTGGGCGCGGCCGGGGCAAGGGTCGGGGCCGAGGCAGGAGCCAAGGGCTCGGCGGCCTTCCCCTCGAAGAGGTCATCAAGGTCACCAGGTGCAAGAATTGCGGCGAGAAGGGCCGCTGGAAGGACAAGTGCCCGACACCGCAGAAGGACAATCCGACCAGGACGGGCAAGCAGCTGGCGTCCTACGTGTTCTCGGGCTGCGTGGCACCACCCGCTGACGACGCCCTGGCATCGCTTCGAGAACTCCAGGGCCAGATCTCCGAGATCTATCTGACCGCTCGGCCGACGCAGGGGCTGGTGGGCCCAGGCGCCGGCAGCGACCTAGTAGGGCTGGCCGCCCTCAACCGCGAGGCGCAGGCGTTCGGCGACCTCGGGATGACATGCGTGGTGGCGCCTCCTGGAGAGGGATCGCCGATCCGACCCGCCCGCGGAGTCGGCGGCCAGGCCAAGATCGCGGGGTCGATCCTGTTCCCACTGACTCTGGGAGGTGTCCTCGGGTGCGTGGAGACCGCGGTGCTTCTCGAGGGCGTGCCGCGCATCATCAGCGTGAACCTCCTGGATTTCCTGGGGTGCGTCATCGACCTGCCGAAGAATCGCATGAAGGTCGCCAGGCTCGACACTCGGGTGCCGCTTCGCAAGCTGTCGTCAGGGCGCAGGGTGGCGGACATCGTGCGCCCTTTGCCCCAGCCTGTGCGTGTCTCGCCGCGCGCCCTCCTGAAGTTGCCTTTTCTGCGGCTGGACTTTTTTTGCCTTGCCGAGGGCGGGCGCCCTCTCGAGATGGCCGAGGGCGGCTCGATCTGCGCTGCGGCTAAGTGCACGTCCCGCCTCTTCCTTTTCCTCTTCCTCATTCTCAACCTCGGGGCCGCCGTGGGGGAGCCTCGGGGGGAACTGGAGCGGGGTCTACTATGCCGTAGAGGACCTTGTCGGGACCCTAGGGGCCATGTACACGACTAGCGAGGGCCCCCTCTGCGTCATGAGTCGGGTCCAGGGCAGCGAGGGCGCCCTCGGGGGCCAGGAATGCGAGGCCGCGGGCGTCGGAGGTTGCCGGCCGGTCGCGTTGCGGTCGCGAGCCCAGAAGCCCCTTGGATAGGACAAGTATAATCATGTTTCGTGCAGAGCGATCCCCGATCCACTAAGGTTCAGGGCCGACATCGGCGGGGGCCCGAAACCGACAGGACAGCCTCGGATAGCCTCGGACCCCCTAGCCATCTCGGCCCAAGCAGTATCAGTTGACTACAGCTTGCCGACTCAGCCCCCCCCCAGGACGCTCCATCTGCCAGTGCTACCGATGTGGGTCCGTGGCGCAGTGTGCATGGCGACGCTCGTCTCGACGGCTCTCAGCGTGGCCGACGAGACCCCGCCGTCCCAGCCTCCGGGTCGGGAGTCTGGGCCCGTGCCCATGGGCGAGGAGACGCCGGTGCTGACGCCGGGGGGCATCGCCCAAGACCCGCAGACTGCGGTGGCAGCAGCGCCAGGTCAGGGGCAGCAGGCCGTCCCAGGAGTCGACCCGGCGCAGTCGCTGGCCCCGCGCGCGGGAGGTCGTGCCAGCGGCCCCCGCCCGCCATGCAAGCCGCTTCCAGGGCTGCGGACGCCAGCCAGCCGCGGTCGCCGCCCTGGCGCGGCCAGCGCCGCGGAGGCGATCGTGGCAGAGCTTCGACGCCAGATGGGCATGCCGGCACCGCCGGTCAAGCCGCCGCCGCCGACTTTCAAGACAGTGCAGACGGCTGGGCCAGCAGGGGTGCCGCCCGAGGCGATCGTCGCGTACGTGCAGGACGCGACTCCAGTTGTCAACCAGGCCTACATGGGCGCCCTGGCTCACGGGGCGACGCGACGCGGACCAGTGCCGGCATGTCCAGGACCTCCGAAACCTCAGCTGGAGGTCCCGCCGCCAGGGCGGGCGGCTGCCGAGGCCCTCCCGGCACCGGGCAGCTCGTCGCATGTGCGAGCAGGTGTCCATCCTCCAGGCCCAGCCGACCTCGTCGGCCGAGGCGTGCCAGCACGTGCTCCAGGGAGTGATTCAGATTCGGCGCATGCTGGAGGGCACGCTCGATCCGCCGGGCGATGCGATCGACCAGGTCGGAGAGGACGTTGTGAACTTGGCGGCGCAAGTCACCAACCTCGAGGGCCAGGTGAGCCAGGTCGGGCAGTTGGTCATGACACTTGCCATGCAGGTGGCCAGGCTGTACCGGGCAGTGGGACAGACGTGCAACGGCTCGTCGGCGGCGGGAACGGCGTCCCCGGGAACACCGCCACAGGCGGTAGCACCAACCACACCCGGCTGGGAGTTGGTGTTCAGCAGGATCCCGGAGGATGCTCAGTCGCGCTCGGACGGCAGCTCAACGCAGTAAGTGTGACAGACCTCCCTTTATGCATCCTCCTCCGTTCCCGTGCGTGTTTGAGCCCGAGCATCACGCCCAGGCCGTGTCCCCCGACCTTTCCTCCCAGCCCAGCTGCCTGTGCTTCGGGTTTCCCCGTGCGAGGGCGGGGGGCCCATCGATGTCAAGAGCAGATCTGGGCCAATGGCTCGATGGCGATTTGCTTAATGACGACCGAGAAGTGACCCTTCCCCGGAGAGTTCGAGATTGTATCGTGACTTTTGCCTCTGACCAAGGGGTCCAGTGGCCTCTTCACGGGGTGACGTGCTGTGCGCTGTGACTACGGGCGGGAGAGACCAGGGGAACCTTTCCGGTCGCGAGGATCGGAGTCACTTTGGGAAGGAGCCGTCCCCAATCCGTGAATCTTTTTTGCAAATTTTCAAGGCGAGTTGGCGCGGCGCCAAGGCGAGAGCCACATTTTGTATGCGGCCCACCCTCAATATGTGAAGGTGTGGATAGAAAAAGAACTCCAGGCTCACAAATGGTCAGGAAGTGTCAGATGCAACGCCCCGCCCGCCTTTCTGACCAGCCTCTGTGTGCGACGGGGAGGAGTTATTCAATAAAAAGACGAGGAGGAAGAGGAGGAGGAAGTGGACAAGGAGGAGGAGCCAAGAGTCATCAACGATGTTGGCATACACCATCCCTTCAAGCTCCCTCTTCGTAGGTCCCTACAAGGATTCACTTCCACTAACGGAGGTGCCCCGTTGGGGAAGAACCGCGTGAAAATCCTGAAGCGTGCGAAGCCACCACCTTCAGGACTTAACGCTACGCGTCAACCTGACTGCTGCGTCGTGACGATCCTGAACCGTGCCAGAACTTCCCTAGGATTTCAAGTCCGCGAATCAACATAACTGTGGCGCCGTGACAATCCTGAACCGCACGACAACACCGTTTTTGGAAGGTTAACCATGAGAATTTGCGAGCCTCTTGCAACTCTTTCAAACGAATATGCGCGGCGCCAAGGCGAGAGTCACATTTTGAAAAGGAGCCGCCTTCAATCCCTGAATCTTTTTCCCTTTGTCCTTTGTTGTTGTTCTTGCTGTTGTTGTTGTTGCTGTTGTTGTTGTTGTTGCTGTTGCTGCTGCTGTTGTTGTTGTTGTTGTTGTTGTTGTTGTTGTTTGAGTCGTCGCCATCCTCGTCGTCGTCGTCGTCGTTGTCGTCGTCGTCGTTGTTGTTGTTATTGTTGTTGTTGTTGTTGTTGTTGTTGTTGTTGTTGTTGTTGTTGTTGTTGTTGTTGGTGGTGTTGTTGTTGTTGTTGCTGCTGCTGCTGCTGATGCGGCTGCTGTTGTTGTTGTTGTTGTTGTTGTTGTCATTTTGAAAACGAGCCGCCTTCAATCCGTGAAGCTCTTTTGCAGTTTTCTCAAAAGAACGTGTGCGGTACCAAATTGAGAGCCACATTTCGAAAATGAACCGCCTTCAAACTGTGAAGCTCTTGCGAATTTCGAAGACGAATGCCCGCGGCGCTACAGCCAGAACCACATTTTGAAAACGAGCCGCCCTCAATCCGTGAAGCTCTTGCAGTTTGTTATGGCGACTGTGCGCGGTGCTAAGGCGAGAGCCACATTTTGAAAACGATCCGCTCTCAATCCGTGAATCTCATGCACTCGTTTTAGACGAATGTGCGCGGCGCGATGGCGAGAACAACATTACGGAAGCGATCCGCCTTCAATTTATGAAGATGTTGCCAGTTTCCAAGCTTCAGGCTCATACAGTGCTAAGGACGCTCGGCCTGCTTTTCCAAGGAACAGTAATGGAGGAGGATGAGGAGGAGGAGGCGGAGGAGGAGGAGGCGGAGGAGGAGGAGGATGAGGAGGAGGAGGAGGAGGAGGGGGAGGAGGAGGTGGACAAGTCGGTCAGATGAACAGTAGGAGTGCGGAGGATGTGCATGAGCAGTTGCGATGCTTTTGGGGCTGGCATGCAAGAGTGCGTTCTGACACGGACAGGAGGAGAGATGATGAGGGTGGAGAAGTTACGAGGGAGGAGGCAAGGAAAGAGGAGGTGAGAGGATGGAAGAGGAGGACGAGGAGGAGGAGGAGGAGGAGGAGGAGGAGGAGGGGGAGGAGGAAAAGGATGACAAACTCCCATGCCTCCTATTCTCTCCCCTTTCTCTCCTCCCCTCCCCTCCTCTCCCCTCCCCTCTCCCCTGGAGGCTACAGCCGCACCCGCCTGGTCTCACATAGGCCAGGGCACTGTCCGCATTGGCGGTTGGTCGTTCGCTCGTTCTTCCTGCTCACCTCCCTCTTCGCCCTTTCCCCGCCGTGATCCAGCGGCAAAGCCACTGCCTCTGCCCACGCCCCGCAGGCCACGCAGGCGAACTCCACCGTGGGTACGCCGTCGTACCTTTCCCCCGAGATCTGCCGGAACTGCCCCTACGGCATGAAGGCCCGAGTGTCCCCCGCCATTCGTTGTTGCTGTTGCCGTTGCTGTTGTTGTTGTTGTTGTTGTTGTTGTTGTTGTTGTTGTTGTTGTTGTTGTTGATGTTGTTGTTGTTGGTGTTGTTGTTGTTGTTGTTGTTGTTGTTGTTGTTGTTGTTGTTGTTGTTGTTGAACTTCCACTACTGAAGAATATTTCTTGTTAATCCCCCCCTCCGGTGACCATTGTTTTTTTCAAGTGAAGTGCTTCCCCCAGGGCTCGCACCCTGCTGTTTATCAGGGAAAGTCACGGGGCTCAAACTATGTCGGTGGCCCCTGGTTTACAATAACAACGGCTTCCGCCTGATACTTCTTCAAGAAGTATTCCCAAATCGCGCTCTCGCGCGGGACGTCCTCACAATTTGTATACGAATCGCGCTCTCAGCGCGGTCTCTAGGCGTGCCAGGGTCAGAAAGTGTGGCACGTGTGGCATTTTCTCCACACCAGAGGGGTTGCGCAGAGAGTGGTCCCTCAGTGCGTCCCCTATGCGTACCATGGTCGGAAAGCGTGGCAGGCGTGGCACTTTGTCGCCACCGGAGGGGGTGCGTGGGGGGTGGTCCATCATTGCGGGTTCTATGCGTGCCAGGGTCGGGCAGCGTGGCAGCCGTTGCACTTTCTCGACACCAGAGGGGTGCGCAGGGGGTGGTTCCTCAGCGCGGCCCCTATGCGTGCCAGGGTCGGAAAGCGTGGCAGGCGTGGCACTTTGTCGCCACCAGAGGGGGTGCGCGGGGGGTGGTCCCTCAGCGTGGCCCCTATGCGTGCCAGGGTCGGACAGCGTGGCAGGCGCTGCACTTTGTCGCCGCCAGAGGGGTGCGCAGGGGGTGGTCCCTCAGCGCGGCCCCTATGCGTGCCAGGGTCGGAAAGCGTGGCAGGCGTGGCACTTTATCGCCACCAGAGGGGGTGCGCGGGGGATGGTCCCTCAGCGCGGCCTCTATGCGTGCCAGGGTCGGACAGCGTGGCAGGCGTTGCACTTTCTCGACACCATAGGGGGAGCGCAGCGGGTGGTTCCTCAGCGCGGCCCCTATGCGTGCCAGGGTTGGACAGCGTGGCAGGCACGACGGTATCGGCGGGGCAACGGCCACCAATATCATTCTCACATGCTTCACTTCAGCAATCGTCACTCTAGCCATCATATAAGTATGTGGGGTTCCTCGGTAGCGTAACTTGTTTGTTGTTTTTTACTCCATTTGCGTTTGCGGCTACTACTTCCGCTACTTCGCCACTACTAGAGCAAACGCTATTACCAGTACTTCTAATCATACCTATAATTTTGCTTTGGCCCAGACGTTCATTTTTACTTCTACCTCTACGGTTACTCTTACTCTTCCATCTTACAATTGCTGCTACTACTCTTATTATTATTATTATTATTATCATGTATTATACATACTTAACACGTAGGACTACTCGTACGACTGCGTCTACGACTACGACTACGACGACGAGCCACTACGACTATGACTACGACTAATATTACGACTATTATTGCGACTGCTATAATTATTTATTATCATCATTACTACTACTACTACTACTACTACTACTACTACTACTACTACTACTACTACTACTACTACTACTACTACTACTACTACTACTACTACTACTACTACTACTACTACTACTACTACTACTACTACTACTACTACTACTACTACTACTACTACTACTATGGCTGCTAATACTACTACTTCCACTGCGTACCACTAATACTACTACTACTGCTACTACTCCTACTACTACTACTGCTGCTGCTACTACTACTGCTACAACGACGACGACGACTACTACTACTACTACTACTACTACTACTACTACCGCTACTGCTATCATTACTACTACGACTACGACTACGGTTATTATTACTACTGCTACTGCTGCTACTATTACCACTACTACTACTACTACTACTACTACTACTACTACTACTACAGCTACAGCTACTGCTACTACTTCTACTACAACTACTACTACAACTACTACATCTACTACTACTTTCACTACTATTATTACTACTACTACTAGTACTAGTACTAGTGCTCGTACTACTACTACTACTACTGCTACTACTACTACTACTACTGCTACTACTGCTACTACTACTACTACTACTACTACTACTACTACTATTACTATTATTACTACTACTACTACTACGCCTTCTCCTACTACTTACTACTCCTACTCCTACTACTACTACTACTACTACTGCTATTTCGGCGTCTCGGGGCCCTCTTGGGAAAATCATGCGGGAATGTGCCGGGAACCCCAGGGGGCACGCGAGAAGCCCTGGTATCATGGCGCCAACATCGCAGAGCGGACTTCGTTGGGAAAACGATAGGATGGGCCTGGAGTGTCCTGGAGAATTTTGTTCCGGATTTCGGCGTGGTTTTCGTGCGGCTATTTTGGCCAGGAATGCAGACCAGTAAAAATCCACGCGAAGTTCATTCCGTGTTTTGCTCGCCGCTTCGGGCAAACATCCACGCATAAGTCCACGAAGAAATCCGCTGCAGCACGTCTGCAAGGCCTGTGCAATGACCGGTAGATTTGGCAATTGGGGCC